TGTAGCCTACTGTGCTTCTTACCTGCAATTCTTTCAACTCATCAATTAATGGGCGCAAGTATACATCAATCTCTTTCCCAAGTGTTTGTGGTCTTGGAATAAGCAATGATATCATGAAGAATGGTTTACTCATACATTTCCATAGAGGTATGTTGTAAGGCATCACAGGCCACATACTGTAAGAGTTGTTTATGTTCCCAAAAGGGTTAAAAACATCAGTGGTCAATCCAAGCCTAACATTACAAGTGTCCTGAGCAAAATTAGGATATTGTGTATCAAAGTCTTTCCATTCTTCAGAATCCCCAGGATGCCTTGAAAAATTCCCGTCATCCACTTGCTTCTGTTGGTGCCACCTCATATCTGTAGCTATCTTTCTTGATATAACTAGTCTATGTAACCTTGGTTTCAACAAAAAATATTGTAAGATCTTATGAAGTATCTGTTATCCAAAATATTGTGTATATAATTAGATTTAAGAAACTTAATAACTGTTGTAAATCTAAAACAAAAAGCCTACTTTTTTTTTAAAAAAATAATGCACTCACATGGACGTAGAACAACAACAACAACGATTAGAATTAAAAAACCAGAATAAATAAAGAATAAATCCGAACCTTTTATCTACAATCTCCTTAAGAAAAATTTGCTCCCTCTTGATGCTCAAGGTTGGTGAGCAATTATCTCCCAAAATAGAACGAATTTATGTTCTTAGAGAAGTAGCACTTCAATCTCTAAAACTCCAGTGAACACAACTTTGTACCTTGTACTTGAATCGACGAAGAAGAACAATGATGTGACAATATGCATGCAGAGAGAGAGAGAAGTATGAAATTCAGAAGAATTGTTCCTGAATTTCAGCGTATTCCAAATGGCAGTAGGGGTCGCACTTTTATAGACTCCAAGTGCCTATTCAATTAACTAAACAAGCAAGGGATGCCACTATTCATCACACTTATTCAGAGACACACTCAGGACGACGACAATTACATCACGCATATTTTAAAAATTAATTTAAAAGACGGTTGGGCTAGGCACTAGAAAGCGAAGGCAACAGACTGTGAGGTGAGGTGAGACGACCACAAGAGGGGGCACCCCAAGCGAAGGCCCCAAAGCCTTGGACCCCACTTGCTAAGGCGCCAAGCAAAGCAAGGTGCCAAAAACCTTGGGTGCCACATGCGGGCTCCGCTGCGTGCTTCGTCCACTGTTCTGATATGATCCATTTTTGACTTAATTCTATACACAAAAATTCAGTCTATTATACTAATACAAATTGGTAAATTTTGAGACATAATTTTTCATTCAAATATTAATGGTTATGAACAAATAATTAAATCATGGTCCCACAAATTTCAATGTTTGAGTCCCATTTTAATTCATTTTTCATAACCATTTTTCAACAATCCCCCACATGAATGGAATTTCAATGTATGGCAATGCAGACACTAGTTCAAGTTCAGGTGAAAGGTTAATGCATTTGGATAAGTAGCCAGTAACCTTGAACTTTCCGTAATGAAAGACTATAGGATTTATTTGGCTAATCAGTGGACTTGATGTCTTTAAATTGTCAGCCGTTTGTGTAAACCAAAACAATAGAATTCACATGGTTTCCCTTCGTACATAGTTGGTTCTTACGTTTGTGCTCGTTTTGGCCTTAAACACCACTTGGTTTCATGAGTAATATTAGAGTAATCAACCTACAAATCTCATAGAAATGGCCCCTTCTTTACTCACATAGGTGATTTTTAATTAAGAGTATCCTGCTATATCCCACTTGGACATTTTCAAGTCACAAAATATCATTAAAAGCGTAACTTGCCCTGATTTGCAAGGAAGATATGCACTATCTCATCATAGGAATGGGAAAAAATTTAAAAAATCTCCTCAGTGTGTATTGAGTTACACATAATTTAGTTGCCTCTTTGAACTTAGATCTTGGGATCTCCAATCAGCTAAGTTGGGTTACCATTATGGTGACTATTGGTTAAGTAATAGGCTTTAAGTCCATTCCCCTTGATGAACTTTTCACTTGCTCTCTAGTCAAACCTTTTGTAAGCGAATCTGAAATATTATCCTTTGACTTCACATAGTCAATTAATATAATACAATTAGGAGCAAATGTCTAATACTATGTGTCTACGACATTTTGTTTCTAAACTTACCGTTATATATACCATTTTGTGTCCTTCCAATCGTAGATTGACTGTCACAGTGAATGCATATTGCAGGCACAAGCTTTGGCCAATTTTGAATATCCTATAAGAAATTACGAAGCCATTCTGCTTCTTCTCCAACATTATCTAAGGCAATGAATTCATATTCCATTGTAGATCTAGCAATACAAGTTTGTTTTGAGGATTTCCATGACACGATTACACTTCCCAATGTAAAGACATATCCACTTGTGGATTTTGAGTCTTTCGTATTGGATATTCAGTTCGCATTGGTATATTCCTCAAGTACAGTTGGGTACTTTGTGTAGTAGTGCAAATCATAGTTGAGTATGCTTTAAATATCCCAAAACTCTAATAATTGTTTTTTAATGGTCTTTTCCGAAATTACTAGTATATCGGCTTAGCTTACTCACAAAGTATGCTATATCCAGACGGGTATAATTCATAATGTACATTAAATTACCAATTATACATGCATATTCTAATTGAGATATCCTTTTGCCATTTTTCTTCGAAAGATGGATATTAACATCGACATGTGTTCTTGTACGATTTATTATATACCGCTTGAACTTATCAAGTATTATCTCCATATAGTGAGTCTAAGATAGCGTGTGTTCACCTGACGTACTAAAAATTTTAATTCTTAATATAACATCAGCAACACCTAGGTTTTTCATTTCAAACCTATTTGTCAATCTCTTCTTGTAAGCTTTAATTACATCGTTATTACTACCTATAATTAGCATGTCGTCTACATAAACACATACAATAACGTATCCACTATGAGTGCTCTTGACATATACACATTTGTCACACTCATTTATTTTAAACCAATTTGACTACATTGCTTTGTCAAACTTTTCATGTCACTGTTTCGGTGCTTGTTTTAAACCATACAGAGATCTAACAAGCTTGCATACTTTCTTTTCTTCTCTATCAACAATGAACTCCTTAGGTTGTTCCATGCATATTTTTTCATCTAATTCACCATTTAAGAATGCTATCTTTACATCTATTTGATGTATTTCAAGACCATTCAATGCAGCTATAGCAATTAACATCTATATGGAAGTTATTCTTGTAACTAGTGAATAAGTATCAAAATAATCTAATCTTTCCCTTTCTTTATATCATTTGGCTGTAAGTCTAGTTTTGTACTTGTCAATAGATCCATCCAATTTCATTGTCTTTTTAAAAATCCATTTATAGCCTAAAGGTTTGTTACTTGGTAAAAGATCCACCAACTCTCATGTATGATTCCTCGTAATGGATTCGATTTCAGAATCGGTAGCTTCTTTCCAATAATGAGCTTCAGGGGAGGACATAGTTTCTTTAAAACTTTGAGCATCACTTTCTAATAGATAAGTTAGAAAATTAGGACCAAATGACTTCGAAGTCTTTGTCCTCATGCTACGTCTAGGTTTATCTTCAATGAACTCTTTTCTTCACCATTACTAGTTGTAGTCTCAATTGGTCTCTTTAATGAGCTTGATTCATATGCCATAACAAATGAAAAATTATTTTCAAAAAATGACACATTCCTTGAATCTATAATTGTATTAATATGCAAATCAAGAATATAAAATTTATGAATAAGAAATCAATATGCACTACTGTTATGGGTATAACCAATAAATACCCTATCAATAAAAGTAATAAAATACTTTTTTACCACCTCTTGTTTGCACAAACTTTAAGTCTCAAACATCACTGTGAATTAATTTAAGAGGTTTGGTACTTTTTTCAATTGGTTTGAAAGATGTTCTTCCCAACTTTGATTCCACACAAGTCTCACATTTACGATTTGGATCAAGACATTTTAGGCAAATCATTCAAAATAACTAATCTTCTAATTGCATCATAATCAACATATCCTAGTCTAGCATGCCACATATTAGAAGACTCAAGTAAGTAAAAACAATTCATCTCATTCTTATTATTAGAATATGTGGGTACAATAGTCATTACATTGAGCTTAAAATGTTCATCATGCATGTATCCTTTTTTCTTTTGTTAGCCTTTGTTCCTCCTCCCACAATATTGGCTTTGGATTCCATTGAGTTAAAGACACCATTTTTCTTTAGATTTATGGTTGTCTTCTTTTATCCTCAAACAAACAATTAATCCTCAAGTTTTATCTCCTTGCGCTTATGCTTGAGATAGTTCTTAAACTCCTTCCATTAGGGTGGTAATTTTTTCACAATTGCAGCCACTTGGAATGACTCGCTAAGAGATGTACCCTAGGCATGGATGTCATGAAGGATAACTAGAAGTTCTTAAACTTGGGATATGACAGTTTTGGAATCCACCATTTTAAAATCAAAGAATTTATCGACAATGAATTTCTTTGTGTCGGCATCCTCGGTCTTGTACACATTGTATAATGTATTGCCTAACCCATTGAGGATGTAATTTCTACACAAGAAATCTGAATGCTTCCAAGCATCCACAGCAAACCACCTTTTCCACATTAGTTTTATTCTCATCAAGTGAAGGAACATCTTCATTCAAAAATTTTGTAAGGTTTAAGATGGTGAGATAGAAAAGCATCTTAGATTGCCAACGTTTGAAGTCCGAGCCATTGAACTTCTTAAACTTCTCCCCATGAGACACATTCACAGTAGTAGGAATAACTATTGTACGAACAACAACATGAAGAATAGAATCATTTGTAGTAGCCATTTCTATTACACAAATAGAAGCAATACAAGTCTTGTTTTAATTATGTAAAGCACTACTAATTCAAACTAAATATACAAAATCTGGTTTAAACACTTTAAAACTGTAAACTAATAGAATACAAAATTATGTTGTCAATTTGAGGACAAGGGACCAAGGGCGTCTACCAAAGGAGGAGGGTGCCAACAGTGAGGGCCAAGGGGTGCCTATCAAGGAAGATGTCGCCAACAGGTGCTCTTGGAGGGCGTCTACTTTGGGAGAGGGTGCCTCTGGAGGGGCACCTACTTTTGGGGAGAGGGTGTTTCCGACAGGGTGCTACTAAAAAATAACATAATACAAAATTCTATTTTTTTTTGTAATTTAAAACAACGTATTGAGCACAAGAACCAAAATACAAAATTCCGTCTTTAACACAACTGTCTTACATTATAACAGTATGTAATCTAATTATTTAATAAAGTCAAAAAGCACATAAAATTTACCTTAAGATTGTTATTCAAAATATTGTGTATATAGTTAGATTTAAGAAACTTAATAACTATTGCAAATCTAAAATAGAAAGCCTACTGTTTAAAATAAAATAATGCACTCACATGGACGTAGAACAGTAGCAACGATCAAAACTAGAAAACCAGAATAAATCCGAGCCTTGTATCCAGAGTCTCCTTAAGACAAATTTGCTCTCTCTTGATATTCAAGGTTGACGAGCAATTGTCTCCCAAAATAGAATAGATTTACGTTCTTAGAGAAGCAACACTTCAATCTCTAAGACTCTAATGAACACAACTTTGTGCCTTGTACTTGAACCGATGAAGAAAAACAACAATGCAACAATATGTATATAGAGGGAGAGAAGTATGAAAGTTAGAAGATTTGTTCCTAAATTTCGATGTGTTCCAAATGGTAGTAGGGGTCTCCCTTTTATAGGCTCCAGGCGCCTGATCAATTAACTGAATAGGTAAAGGGCACCGCTGCTTGTCACACCTCTTCAGAGACACACTCTAGACGATGATAATTACATGACATGTATTTTAAAAATTAATTTAAAAGACAATTGGGTCAGGCACTGAAAGGCGAAGTTAGTAGACCGTGAGAAGACACGAGACAAGGCGTGGCAAGACAACTATAGGAAGGGGCACCCCAAGCCAAGGCGCCAAGCAAGGCAAGGTGCCAAAAACCTTGCGGGATCTGCTACTTGTTTTGTCAACTAATTCGATCTGATCCATTTTTTGACCCAATTTCAAATCCAAAAATTTGATCTATTATACCAATACCAATTGGTAATTTTTGAGATATAATTTCTCATTCAAATATTAATAGTTATGAACAAAGAATTAAATCATTGTTCCACTAATTTTGATGTGTGAGACTCATTTTAATTTATTTTTCATAACCATTTTTCCAACAGTATCTTTTTACCCTTACCATCATTGAACTGATATTTTGACTCCCCACATACGACACACTTATCCAACTTTTCATTATCATTCCAAAATAGCATACAATCATACTTACATGCATAATGGGTACATATCCCAATCCCAAAGCACGTAAGAATTTTTTAGCATCATAGATAGATGTAAGAAGAAAATGACCTTTAGGTAAAAGGTTTGCCAATATCTCTAACATAAATGGTAATGACTTATTGCTCCACTTGCTCAACTCCTTCAAATGAAGCAACTTAACCTAGAATGACAACAATGTATATTTTTTATAGCCAGGATACAAAACACGTTGAACATCCCTCATTAAATTTTCATTTATGAACTACCTCACTATCAGAACCCTCACTTGTTTCTCCAGCACGAACACCCCCCAAATCATTATGCATGAACATTCTCATATCTGCATCTTCCAACATTTCAGGCATTTCATCTTGATCATCATCTCCACTTTCGGTCATATCATCCTCGACACTATCAGCATCACCATCATCTTCAAAAAATTGGGTGACATTCATAGGAATGGATTTCCCATGGTGTACCCACGTCGTGTAAGAGGTTTATGATATCTTTCACGTATAAATGATTTTTCATAGTCTCATCATCATGTCATTCTGTATTCTTGCAATTCCAACATGGACAATGAATTTTTCCATCTTGACTCAAACATTCCATGGCAAAATATTTGACTCCATCAATGTATTTTTCATCCAACCTATGCCTAATCGTTATCCAACTCTTGTCCATAATTGATGCCCTACAAAATCACTTATTTATCAATGTCATGTACCAAGCATCATGCAAACTATATCGTCGACTTCTTCCTATTTTGGTAGGTGGTCCTATCCCATTCAGGAATGCACATTCTATATAGTAGAAAGCATCTCTTACCGCTTCGTACATCTCTAACGAAAATCCGGCAACATCTCCCCATAGTTCTAAGCACACGACATAGACTAAGTGTCATTGCTACACACATCTACTATGTACATAGAGAATAATGGGATCTGCCACATAGAATATCCAAGAGATGTAACAAATTAAGCAAAAATATATTAACTACAATATAGACTTGTGTATTCCCAAACTGTCCGAAATTGGACAATTCTAGAAATGTCCAACGGCAAAGAATACTCTATGTCTGATGTGGATTCTTGAACGGGTACTAAGGTTTCATGCAGGCATGCATAGAATAATACAAATTTTAAAAATTACAAATAAACTGTATTGAAACCTTAATTTATATTAAGGATTCAATAAATCACCGAAACTCATAAATTGCCCATTCCCAAAAACAAAACAAAGCATTAAAAAAATTAGACATATACGATAAGTGATCAAGATTTCTTACTAATCAAGGTGTGCATGAGGAAAATCTAAGGTTGATAACAAGAACCTTAATATTGCAATGCATATGGATACAAGTATTTGTCTGAAGTTTCAAACTCTATTTTTTATGGTAGACACTAAAGGGTGTCCATTTGATACTAACAATAAACGAACACCATCATATGGTTTTTGTCTCATTCTTGCATTTGGTACTAATGGTGTTTGTTTCAAACCATGATATGTGCTGTCCCAAAAACTTTGCAGTGTGACCACTTTATGTCTTTAATTAAAATGCATTGGCACTACCACGAATAGAAAATTACAGTCCTTAAATATGCTGATTTTTACACATTAAAGTAAATCCTAGACCTTTTATAAATAGAGTAAGATACAAAAGTACACGATATTAATTACAACATATGGATATAGGTTCAAGTGAACTGCTAAGGTTAACTCACAAGACAGTAAGGTGGACAACCTAGAATAATACTTCATTGGAAATTACGCAAATTTTTTTATCAAAGAACCACACAAATCGTGACCAAGCCAAGCCCAAGTACAACAAAGCAAGACCAATATATAATAAATATAAAGGTGGGGAGGACATAAACATTGCCTCTTTACATAATAAATAAAAAAACTAAGAAGTCTTTTTTGAATGAAACTAGAAAGGTGACTATGGCCCACCATACTTTGTTTTCTTTCCATAATTACAATTCCATCTCCAAAGCATACTACTTGAATAGTTTTCACCAACAAGTGGTGGGGCCTGTTTTCCGCCAAAAAATCCCATGAATTCCTGTGTTTTTATATATATACTAGTTGGTGCACACGTGTGTTACAGGTGGACCATTGTCAAATTAAAGTGTTTTTTTTTTTATTAATGGTAAAGATTGTTAGCAATCTTTTTTTGGAAGACCAAAATATGCTAGAGCCAAAATAAAAGGAAATATTAACAAAATGAAAGAAGAATAACTATTGTTCCTTTGAAATTACATAGATAACCCTTAGTAAAATATTCTTTATGTTGACAATATTGCTTAAACCAATAATAAACCACTACACAAACATAGCTAGTCAACCTCATCTAGAGGAAAATTATCACATCCTATATAAATGTCCATATGTGTAAGTGCTAGTGGATCTCTCTTTACTCCCTCGGGAGTATTTCCAATAGGTGGATTATACTCCACGAACCTGACAAGGGTATAGGAAACCAAGGGAATGCATCTCCTCATTCAACGGTTGATTAAATGTTCAAGATTTTGGTTTCACCATAATCTAAAGGTAGTTGCACGTTAACTATACACGATACAATAAACATAATGACTTTCCAAATCCTTATACACTGAAGAATGCTTGGCAGAACTCAACAACAATCATCAATTATCTCCAAAGTCAACTACATGATCTAAAGCAGAACTCATTTCATAAGCTCAATTTAAAAATACAAACCATGTCAAGTATTCAATTGCATAATGGCCAAAAGCATTAGGAAAAGTTCTTTACGAGCAACAGAAAACAATTAGGCATCTATTATACAAGGAAAATGATCCTCTATACCCTATAAAAGCTTCCATACATGCTATTAGCCAACAGTAAACATATGCTTCTTCTGGGCTTTCAACAGATCATTTAAAGTTGGTTCCATTATAAATATCCTACAAGTGTGTATGAGAGAGTGAAGACATCCAACTTATCATAAATGCATATCAAGTTATTCTTGAAGAATAACATATATTAGACAAATAGTGAGACCAAGACGATACAAAAGTGTTAGTTTAGTCAAGAAGGCAAGCAATACGAATTGAAACACTACCGTCAATGCAGGATGAACCATTTAAAGTTTAAAACACACCAATATACTTGCAAACCAGAACAAAGTCATCATAGAAACATATTGATGGCCGTCTAGAATTTATTCATATAATGATGTTTTCATAACAAAAAAAAAAAAAAAGGAATGGACAAGTATTCAACAATTAGTATACATTTTTCACATTTAGATGACTCCACCAACTAACAAAAGCCTTAATAAGAACATCATTTCAGAGTACACAACAATTTCTTTTGCTCTTCCCACTTGAGTCAACAAACAAAAAAAATTTCATGAATGCCAAAAAAAAAAAGAGCTTATCCAGAATTTGGGCTTTGGTGGGCAAATTATTCCAACAAGACAGGTCTCTAAGTCTATTCCATAACTCTAACTGAACCTTTTAGTTGATCTAATCCATAAGTAGTGGATCTTATTAATATTGGGAATATCATCAATCCAACAATTATTAGGCTAGCTGATTAAGTATGCAAATTAAGTTCCTTAAACATCGTTCAACAAAATGAACTACTTGATATTATTAGACTCATTGTATAAATTTTACAAATGAAATTTGCACTAATGTATTATAAAGTACTTATAATTAAGCACAATGTGATTAAACAAGATGGAGGAATGGCTGCTGAATGCTTTAGCTACCCGTTTTTTATTACAAATGTTGCTTGTTTCTTTTATAGTTGGTGAACACCAAGAAGGAAAGGGCAAAAGTT